CGTCTACGAAAAAAATTAGCTAGATTAATATATTACTTTTGAAGATTGACATAATCAAAGATTCTTTAATGAAATTTTATATAGGCGCTTGAGGTAGAATTAATTTGAATTTTGGTTAAATATTATAAAATATTACATTATTAAATTACATTATTAGAGTTTGCGCGGAATATATATATATATATATATATATATATATATCTATTATGCTGCAATAATAATTTATACTTTATGTTCTAGCATCTGAAGAATTGTCTATCGGAAATATGAGATTCACAACCTTTGATCTTGGGGGTCATACTCAAGGTATGCAAGAGAAATGATAAGAGATCTTGTGTTTCATATTAGTTAAGCAGTTGCTCACACATTTGCAACTTGTGCAGCACGTCGCGTATGGAAGGATTACTTCCCAGCTGTCGACGCGATAGTGTTCCTTGTCGACGCCAGCGACAAAACAAGATTACCAGAATCAAAAGCCGAGCTGGATGCGTTGCTAACTGACGAGCAGCTCAGTGCATGTCCGGTTCTCGTGCTAGGCAATAAAATTGACAAACCATCCGCGGCTTCTGAAGATGAACTCAGAAACTTCTTTAATCTATATGGACAAACAACAGGAAAGGTACACATTCCTTGCAAATCAGAAAACAGTGATCTGCTGTATTAGTTACAAGAGCTACATTAAGTGGATCGATAAAGTTTTTATTTAGAGATACGATTGTAAATTTTTTAGGGTAAAATTGCTCGCAGCGAGATACCCGGCCGTCCGCTGGAGCTGTTCATGTGCTCAGTCCTGAAGCGACAGGGATATGGGGAAGGCTTCCGTTGGCTTGCACAGTATATCGATTGAACGTACATATTACTATACATGACAGATTCTCAACAGTTTCATCATACATTTCCCTTTCCTGTGGTAACGGTGCCGCTACCGGGACTGTAATCTTCACATGAATTCAACAGTAGGAGAGGACCGTTTCATCGAAAAAGGAAAAAAACAAGGAACAAGCAGTAATCGAAATTTAAGACGATTTTCACAAATAGAGACACCGAGACGATTATTCTCGAGAACATATTGTATGTACGCGCGAGGGATAGGACAGATTTCCTTTCTTTGACGCTGGTACACGATAAACTCGACGAACGTCATCTCTTTTTTTTTTTTTTTTTTTTTTTCCCGAATACTTCGAGCTCCGTACGGATTCTATGGAAACCTATCATTTTGCGAGTCATATTAGGGGAATGATCATTGATACGTGCTGAAGAATGAAATAAAAACATTTTGATAAAATAAAACTAATAAACTATTTAAGAATTCCAAGTGTTTTGTAGATTTATTTTTAGTGACGTTAGACTCAAAGAGAAATAATGCAGAGTAATATATCGTATGCAATCGTAAGTGTCGCTTTTCGAAAGTTGAGAGCTTATAGTACGTAAATTATGAAGATTTAGATTGATTTGTTTAACTATAGTACTCTCTCCACATGTGCTCTTTGCTTTTCGTTTCATTAATTTAAAATTTAATATTTATCACTGAATCACTGAACGACACTGCTAAATGACGTTTACTTTTATGTTGTGTTTTTATTTATAGTCTTGCATTTGTGCCAATATTTTATATTCTTTGAAATTTATCATTTAAAAAGTGCAGGATATGTTGTATGGATAATTTTCCCTTTTGGTAATAGTTACGAAAATCTATTAAACCAATTGAAATTATTAGATAGGACAATTGTATCGGTTTTTTTAGCTAATTGTGAAATCGCGTATCATAATTAACAGCTGCTATATTGTTTAAATACTACGGCATATATCATGCTTGATATTCCAGAATAATCTTCAATTATACATATGTAAATTAAGTTACTGTTATAAGTTGAGGCTGTTCATAACTTACATAGATAGCGGGAAAATTTTGTTAATTTGTTGATGGTAAATCTAGTTTATAAATCCTGAAGAGTTGCTTCCAAAATAAAAACAAAGTTACAAACACGAATAAATATTTTTACATGATAGTACTTAGGTTGTAAGTATTTATTTTTTTTTTTTTTCATTTATATTACACCAGTAAAATATGGTTGTTTTTTTTATTTTACACAATTGTAAAATAAAAAAAAAGTTCATCAAAATAATCTCTGATAAATTAGCTTACGGTATAATCTGTTGCGAAAATATAGGCGATTAAAATCTAAAAAAAAAAAAAAGTCAACAGTTTTAATATAAATTTCAATCTATACAAAATTAGGATATTAAAATCAAGTCTTTAGGAATTTATTTTCATATAATAATGTATCCGCAATACATATAAAAAAAAAACTTGATTTCTATCTTGATTTCATATTCGTTGGTACACAAGTGTAATTCTTTCTCTGCAGGAAGTGCTGCGAATCGTTTATTTACATGTTCATCCGTTACATCAGTCAAGGATATCGGCTTCCACATTGGCTTTTTATCTTTGTCGATTAGGAGAACTCTGATAATTAAATTGAAATATTGAAATAAGAACAAGATTTGTACGACGCATGCTATCTTGTATTACCTTCGTAAAAAAATCACGATTTCTTATGGCGGTATAGGCCAATCTATATTCGATTTTTAAACAATCCCCTAAGGATTTTCCTTTTGTTTCGTCGAACGCTTTCTTGGTTATTTTGAGAGAAGACGGAGACATTTTGAATAGAATGTCTATGTTTTTTTGTGCTCAGTCAGAATTATCCTTCTTTAGCCTTTATAAAAAAAAATTACATTACTGTATTATAAATGAAAAAATATTAATTCAAAGTGAATATCTCTATTTTACCTTTTAATTATCTCTTCCATGGATGAAGCAGAGAAACAATTTTCTATCTGCGACATATTCGGTGCCAAGCTGAATTCATGATTTAATAATTTCGGTTGATATTTGTTTAAAACTGATTCAATGTCGACTTTGCGTAACGTCAATAAATCGCGTTTTAAATCCGCGAGTTTCTCCGATGGTACAAAATACGTCGCGATTTCAACAAGGAGAACATCGATACCTTGATAAAATTTATATCTATAAATGTACATAGGTATATATATGCATAGAATTCTCAATATATAAATGAATTTCAACAATTACCTTTCAATCTGTGCCCTGTCAAGCCTATAGGTAGATACCTAGTTTACCCTTCAATCTAGGCAGAAAATAAGTCGCGCCGACATCAGATCACCCTATTATCGTTTCCGGTATAGCAAAGACGGTTCTTTCTGTGACAATTCTGTATTTGCCGTGTACAGATAGTCCAACACCGCCTCCCATTGTTATCCCGTTGATGATGATAGCAATATAAGGCTTCTTATATGTTGCGATCAAGTGATTTAAGCTAGAAGCAAAAGAAAAAGATCATTTTGCTCACATAAATAGACGAAAGATGCATTTGTTTTTGAACAGACATTTGTATGTGCGTAAAATCATTTGAACTTTTGGAATTTTAAGTAAGTGAAATAAATAAAAGGCAAAGGATGCGAAAGATAAGATGAAAATTAATATGAGGTACAAAGAGAAGTACAGAGAAATAAATTTAAAAGTAAAGGATTGTATGAGATAAGATAGAAATGAGATGTATGCATAAGAAAAGGTTTAACTAAATCTTTTCATAATAAATGTTAGAAGTAGTAAAGATTCTTCATCTTCATAAAAGCGAAAGAATGATTGACTACTGCGTCATAACTTACTGTATGGCAAATGTTGCCACATCCTATTTGCAGAAACTATTACACTTGCTCCTAATTTTTTCCTCATTGTACGCAAGACCTTATCTTGAATAATAATTATTCTCTTCATTAGCTTGATTTTGATATTCATGGGCCCTAGCGATCCAAAATATTCCAATTAAACAACTGTCAGACGACCAGAAAAATGATCCTATAAACCTAAAGTCAGTTTTATATATTATCATATAAAACTGTTTAAAAAACACATTTTGCATTCTCTTATTAATCTGAATGTTATTTCTTACACTATGCAAAAATTTGCAAATGTCTGCATAATAAATAAAGGTAACAAAAGTTTTTATAAGATAAGTATTATATCTGCAGTTCTTTAACAAAGAAATTTTCAGAAATGTTAAAAATCATTTCTTCTTTTGTAAGATTTACAAATGGCCATCATGTTATCTCCGTTTATCATGTAGAGACGTGAAAATCTCTGCATAATATCAGAAATTATATTGATAAAAACATTCTACAAGAAGTTAGGTTAGGTTGTCGATAATTACTGCGCAGCAAATATAAGACGTTTATTATCTTAAGAATATAATTTTAAAGGCGGATACAGATTTGTTTAATTAAAAAGGAAAAGAATTACCTGTGATAAAAATTGCACTGTCAGAAAATGCTTAGAGAAACGTCTTTATCGTATCACCATGTAAACAACGTGAGATGCGTCAGTGTTGTGATAGGTTAGAGTTCCGCGTAATTCAAATTCTTAGATGTTCCAAGTTCAAATAGTATATATAACATCAATAATATTGTAAATCAATCAAAAATTTAACAGTTTTATATTATGTTATATTACTTACTCGCCGGTTATACAGCATTGATATTCTGTTTGCTGAATAGATAGCGAAAAAATTTTGTTAATTGGTTGATGGTAAATCTAACTTATAATAATCGATCAGTTATCAAATTTATCGGCCATCAATAGTCGATAACATATCGACATTCTGCAATTACCTCCGGGCCTTTCGGCGGGCACGAAAATTTACTCACCGGATTGGTATGGGGTCTTTAACAGTCGCCGCGAGAGCTCGTCGGTGCAGCCCATATTAATTCAATTTAGTTTCAGTTTCAAAACGTGGCGGAACGGAACGGATCCAGAGCAAGTGTGACGCTATGATTCACTTATTGGTAAGTAATACTTGTATTAATCTCACGTTTAATGTTAATACGTGTAATATTGATTCGGCACGTGCATGCTGATGAATCGGTCGAACGCTCACGTATCTCGCAATACTCCTTCGGCCGAAAATCTTGAAAGATATGTAGCGTCGCCGCGCCGCGCCGCGCCGCGCTTGTTTCGCGTAAGCTGACGGCCGCTTGTCTCGCGTGCGGGACGAATATTGCTCCGCTTCGCTATCTTAATTACGCGTTTATGTATTATATACGTTAACGCATAAACGCGAATTATATAAGTGACGCAGCCGCGCCGCGCCGCGTCGCGTTGCTTTCGGCGCGTCAAGTTAACCAAAGCTCGCACTAATTGCGCCTGCATTCTAAACGTTCACATTTTATTTTTGCAGGGAACGCGATGGAACGGACCAGCTCCGCGAAACAAGTGACGCCGCGATTCAATTAAGTAATACTTGCAATATACTATTAATCTCACATTTAACTCGTATTGCGCAATACTCGTTCGGCTGACAATCAAGACATATATATATATATGCGTAGCGTCACCGCGCATAAGTGACGCCGCCGCGCGCCGCGATGCTATTAAGCCACGCGAGGTGAACCGCGGGATAAACCAAATCGCTTCGCCATTTTAATAGCATATCTCCTTTATATTTTCAGAACGCGACGAACATATAAGATAGATAGTCTCCGGAACGAGGAATATTGCGGCTGATATAATTGCAGGTAAGTGATATTTGTATTTGTATATTTGTCTAACGCGCAGTATAATATAATAGAATCGGCACTCGTACGTATACATTAATTGATCGCTGACGCGTCGCTGTCACGTACCGTTTCGCCACGGCATTTATTTCGTGTCAAGTTAACTGCCTGCATCTTAATTATACATTAACGTTACGTTTTAATTGCAGAAAGCAGGAGCACGTACACGCCGGCCGCGATGAATTGGCTCCAAAACGAGTCGCGACTCATTCCGGGGAGGGCGTCGATAGAGAATCAAAAGCATATCCTATTATGCGCAGTTGATCATGATATTCCGGAGAGCTTGAAAGGAGGAGGAGGCCTAGGATAGCTGCTGCATCTGCAGGCTGCAGCGGAGCAACCTTGGGGTAAGTATCATTTCTTACATAAGTACATACATAAAATCAGAAATTCTTCCTCACTTATTCAGATCATTTTTATCTTAATCTATGTTATAAATATTTAGAGAAAGATAAAATCTATAAATATCTATAGTTTTATAAAAATTGATTCTTATGAAGATTTTTTTAAAGGAGATAGATAATTATATTATTAGTCAATATTTAATTGAAAGACAAATTAAAATTAAAATCAAATTAATTCAATACGCGTGTAAGATTTGTCTTTTAAGACTTTAATTATTTTAAGCACTGTTTTAATTTGAATCTTATGTTTGTATTGCAGTGTCATCGTAGCTTCATGACTGCAGAATAACTCCGCTCGTTGCGCATCAGATCGCGGTGAGTGACTCAATTATTTTATCAATAGGGTAACGAATCTGTGAAACTCTTGTATTAGATATATTATATTGTATAGTGATACTGCAATTAAATACGATTTCGTTCACGGATTCGTTGTTAAATGAGATAGACTACATCAGACTAAGCTCACAGTAGTTAAGTACGTCTGGAGTAAAGACTGGTATAAAGCCGCGACTTTTTGACTTCAGTGATTCATATATTAGCCTCTATTATAAATGCCATGAGAGAAGCATCTATGAGAATGAATTAAATTTGGTTTGTTATAATTGCTGGAATAATCTTCATAGGTAATGCTTGTATAAAATTTAATTTATACAACATATATATATATATATATATATATATATATATTTAATTAAAATACATTTATAACTTACCAGATGTAGATAAATGTAATTCTTCAGTAATTATGATATATGTAATTTCTTACATAAGATAAAGATGTTTCTATCAGTAACAGTATAATAGTATATATATCCTTATAATTTAAATAATAATTAAAATAGTTGAAATGGATTTTATATAATTAAGATTTTACAAATAATTAATATTGGGAATTTGTGTTACTCATTTTAAGAAATGTAAAACAATAAGATTGCTCAAAATTATATATGAAGATTTTACATTTATTTGATATATTTCTTTATATTTTAATACACATATATGTATGTATGTATTATATAAATGTTGTACATACAATATATTTTAATTGGATATCCTGCAAAGTAGTTATGTTCCAAGGAACAAGAACATACTGAATATTTACAAAAGTACAAAAGTTTACAAAACATTTACGACTATACAGCGAACTCTTCTAATCATATACTTTATCTCTACAATTGAAAACTATAGCTTTAACGGCACAAAGTTAGCATAACATAGTTTTCTAATTGTCTAAATTGTATTCGATTCACATTATTGTTTCGTTAAATTAGAAAATCAGACTTTTAGTTTTTCAGAAGCAGTTAGCTGGCAATTACTGCTTGTCTATAGGCCTTTGAAGTGTTTATTATTGTTTGTTGAATTAAGTATTGTTTCATCAGGTTTAAGAGATGATAAATCATCCTTTTTGATCAATATCATATATACAAATCTCATATTCAAATATATATTTAGTATAAATATATATACATATATATATATATATATATATATATATATATTTATATACTAAATTTATATTTGAATATGAGATTTGTATATCATATGAGGTGTTTATAAAATTCTTATCACGTATTTGCTCAAAGCAAAATTATTTGATTAGATGTAAAAATCAGAAATGTGATCGCAAATGCCATTAATTTCTACAAATAATAAATATTATAACTTTACATACATTTTGTATAGATGATTTATACTGCATTACTTTGATTTTGACGACAGATTCTGATATAACGGAATTTTATGAATGCCTTGTCTTGCCCAGTTCTTAATTAATTACTGTCAAGATTTTGCCAAGTTAATTATGTTTAATTGCATTCAAACTTAATTCATAAAATAGACAAAATGATTTTATACAAAAGAATTTTGTCTTTTATAATTCATTATAAAATACATTTTAGCATTTTTTCATTAATTAAAGACGCTGAGTGCGCATTCGCATTCATTTAAAAATGCTCCTTACTTCGTAAATCGGAATTTACATCGTCTTATTAATTTGCATTCTGACTTTTGATTGAAGCATGTTGGAAATTTAATATGCCTTTTACAAAGAAAGGATAATTATTCCTTTGAGATAGAGAGATAGATTGCACATGCTCAATATGTATTATTCGGTCGCTATATTAATAAAAAGCTACTAATAAAAAAAAAAATTAATTTTTTTAAAACTTATTATCTTATATCGTGTTGTGATAAAAAATTTTAACAATTGTCCGAAAACTGTTTTTGTTACGTTCAACTGCAGTTTCGTAGGCATTCTTGACTCTTATAAAATATATTTTATAATGAGTTTTATAGCGTTTTTTACGTGAAAATATCGTGTGTTATAGTTCTTCCTTCGTTTTAAAATGAAATTTTTCCTTTATAATAATATATAATTTGTATTAAATCATGATATATTAAATTTAGTATCTAATTGACATATTAATATAATCTACCGTTCACGGAATTATATTCAGTTTATTGTATAAAAACTTCTATATCCAATTAACTTTTTTCTATCAAAGCAATTAGTCTTTTGTACAAAATTTGTTTGGAAGAGTACAGAAATTTACAATTTCTTCTGGTTTGCTGTAAAATTCTTATAGATAGTATACACTTATAGGAAATTTTGCGAAATTATTTCATTCACCGATATTACATAACATTAATAGAATATATTAATAGTATAGATTCTGTATTGTTAGAAAATGTCTAACAATAGGGTTGAATTTGTCATAAAAAAGTTTTACAAAAAGTATTACATTTATATTTGACGTAAGTATAAATGTGCGCCGCGAAATTTTGTGTTCTGTAAAATTTTTCTAAAATCGTTGAAAGACAATAAATTTCTAGGTTTCCTCGGGTTAGATTCGCGTCAAAAGAATATTTCACGTATGTTATTTATACGATATGTATGTAAGTGCTTTATTAAATTAATTTTATGTGGCTTAATTTTGTATGTAATGTCACACGGGTGCCTATAAATTGTAATAATTTTATCTGTTAATTGGAATGTTAACTATATTTGTAATTAGATTAGCTACAATATGCTCTTAATAACGCGATAAATTTTTAAGAAATCAATTATTTTGCATGTGAAAAATTTGTATGCTGAGAAATGCGATTTATCTGATCCTATTGAGGTTCTAATGACGTTCTCGAGAATCTTCCTTGTGAATGCTGTGCCTGCGTGATTCTTGACCGCTAGGCGTAACAGGTCGTCGTTTTGATCTTTTGAATTTAGCGATATCCTCGCCGAACACGTCACCAGTTCGAAGAGCAGATATTAAATCGTCGAATTCGCCTTTGTTATCATTCTGTTGTCCGTTACTATTTGTTTCGTTCTTCTTACTTAGCGATATGCTGTTTAATATACCTTCTCGTGAGTTCTTTCTCTCTATCGTTCTCTTCCGGAGCTGTAAGAAATTGTAATATGTAATAATATATTATTATTTACGCTCTACACATGTAAAAATAACGTACAAATACGTATTTATAAAATATGATATAGTAATAATATTCCTTACTTCCTGTTCTTGCTTTGCTCTACGTTCCTCTTCTTCGATTTTCTTCCTCATATTTTCTACATCTTGCCTTGCTTCAGCTAGGGCTTGTAAAAAGTTTTCAAAAATGCCAAAGAATTCATCTGGTTGAACGCCAGCCGAATCTTCACCAAACAGTCTCACTGCTCGATCAAACTGGTTATGATAAAATCAGTTTTATCATAATATTAATCACAGCCATATTTATCACAACCGTAATTAACGTTAATTATTTATTCTTACTCTAGTTTTCATATCTTGGAATAAGTCTTCCGCCTCTGCTAATCTACACGTGGCTTGCGCCTGGAAGTCCCTCATCGCTGGTAAAAACATATCACCCTGAAGCACTTGAGATTGACCTCGATGAAATTCTAAAAAATAAATGAAATGGGAATGAAATAAATTTAATAAGTGACGAGATAAATAATAATTCATCTAAATATTCTTCGTGTTTTTCTTTTCGCGCAATTTTCATAATATACTTTTAGATAATCGTTCTCACTCTCGCAGAAAAAGAAATTAACACACTATAAACATTGCAGATAATTAACCGTTTAAAATTAAGATACTCAAGATACTTACGCTTTTAAATTATCTTTAGTCATGTTAGTTTCAATCTTTTCACGTCAAATTCGCTTAAAATTCAACTATTATATAATCTATTATTACCTATTTCTCTTTGAACATCCTGCAGTCCGTTTTTCAAATTGGCCACTTCTTTCTGCAAATCGGCCATACTAACTTTAGCAGCTGTTTTAACGTGCGGCATATCCTCTTCGATATCTAGAACCTCTCTGAATCTAGCTTCGAGAATTTGCACAAGATAATGTAATAAAGTTGTACCCTTGGAGCAAGAAGACTTTGTGTCAACTAGACGATTTAAAGAAGCTAATCGAAAGCCGCAGGCGTTACCCCGCGCATTCCCGCGATTCACGTAATTTCCCAATGCTAAAACTAATTCCAAAAGTTTTCTGAGTCTCCTTGATCTGGCTACTTGTCGGCTTGCTTCTAAAACTGCCCGCATCCTCGGTGTCAGTTCCGCAATGCTAGCTGCAAATTTCTTTTTGTAATGAAGAGAACGCAATCTCTGTTCATAATGCGGCACCCTAAAGACAAAACAATTAATTTATATTTTATTTGTTCAATGTTTAATTGATTCGTTTTGTATTTGCTTAAAGAAAGACTAAAATTTCACTTTTAGCGAGTTACTCGAAATTTCGATCTAATCAATCGATTAAAGTGATTATCATAATTTCAGCAGAGAGAGAGAGAGAGAGAGAGAGAGAGAGAGAGAGCTGAGTTTTAAAACAAGTTAATAATGTTGAAAATACAACGCACTTTGATATTTGATACAAGAAACAGTCAGCCCTGTTTTGCAATTCCTTTTGATGGATATCTAACAAGGCAGCCTCTTCCGAGGATGGTATGTATTTTAGCAACTGCTCCACCATATCGATGTGCAAAATATTCTGCTGATCCATCGATAATATGGTTCTAGTAATTTCGTTATCAGACATCTTCAATTTCGACAACAGTATAGTGCAATTCTGCGCTCTTCTCGAATCGATTACTGACATCGTCTTCTTATTCTTTCCTAATGTCCTCAAGTCTTCTATCGAGCCTTCCGTGGAAACGCCATTCTTTTGATAAGCGCAAAAGATCTTATCAATAGACTCGAGGTCCATTACGTTGTAAAGTTTCGTATCGTCCAACTCTGACCATATTGTACCCTGCAACTTCTGCTCAGGTATTTTCGACCAGTTGAACGATTTCAAAGGATTACTCGGCTGTGGAACATTCTTTATTATCTCCACCTACGAAAATTTTAATTCGAATTAAATTATTCGACTGAAGAAAATTATTAATTATATAATATAATATTTCTTATATATTATTAGTAATATAAGAAATTATACTACTGCAACTAATTATGCAATTAATCTTAGAAAAAAATATTACCATTAAAAAAATCTAATTATTAAATATTAAATTTTTTGTTTTATTGCCGTTGTTATTATTATTTATACGTAATAATTTTATAATTCACTTAGTTAAAACATTTTGGAATATAATAATAACCTTCATAGGCGGGGGAGCAGCCGGCATCAAACAAGGAGGTGGCGGAGGTGCTAATGGAGGAGGTGGTGGTGGTGGTGGAGTGGGTTTGGTCTCAATCTTTTCGAGTACTTCATCTTCTACAATTTTTAAAGTGGCTTTCGCATCATCTGGCAAACTTCCTGAAGCTACCAATTGTTCTAGACGTTTCCTTTCAGATTTCTCGTTATTAATTTGTCGCGACAACGTCTCAAGGCTATCTTCCAATTCAGAAATTTTTTGTTTTGTCTCTATGTGCATTGAGGTCTCTTTTTCAAGACGTTCTTTGATCCTTACTAAACTTGCTTCCATATCTTCCTACAAATAGATAATTACAAACTATGACACTATTTGTTGTAAGAGAACAAACAACACCAAACAGTAAATGACAATTCAAATTTTTGTTGTATCAAAGACATAAAAATAACTTATTTTAACATTAAATGAATTTATTGAAAAGAAAAAAAAATGTTACTCAGGTTTTTTTATATCACCGATTAGCCATATATTTGAAATGTATTTAATATTATAAAAAAAGCACTTTTAAACCTGAATAATGTGTGTTTTTCTCATTTTTATATTATTATCAATCTCAAGGTTTCAAACATTTTTCAAATGTGTATATCTTTAGCAAATAAATCAAATTAAGAAAAAAATTCTTTTTAATATATAGATATGTGTAATATGCATCTAATATTTTTTATAAATAACATTTTATTATTACTATTATTATTATTATTCTGCATTATTATAAGACATTTGACTTGTCACTGACAAATAGAACATATATATATATATATATATATATATTGATTTGGATAATACTTTTTCTTGACTTCTCAGATCTAGTTCCTGCTCCTTCTTAGCCAGTTTCGTGGACATGTCCAAATTTTCGCGTTCCATTTCCTCGGCCTTCTTCCTTGCAGCCACAAGTTCTTCTTCCTTTGCGAGAAGATGAACAATCTCCTTCACATTTATTTCTATTGGGGCCACATCAGGATTTTTTATTAATCCTGTCTCGTTGCTTTCAGACTGTAAAACGATCTGCTGAACAATCCGATCAAACAACAACCAATGTTGAGGATGCGAACCATAATCCACTGCGAAAAAAATTAATTAGCATTATAATATATTATGATTTATTTCACGATTACAAAAATAAGATTTTCCAATCGAAAATCACTCACGTGGCAACAAGAGACAATGTTCAAGTAAGCTAAGAAGATGAGGATAAGCAGCAGTATGGCTGAGTTTCCGTCGCAAAAGATCGAACATGGCACTAGCACTCTTAGTGTCCACATGTTCCTTTTCGAATTTCCTGGCGAGCTCCTTCTCGTCTTCATTTCGTACCATCTCAAAAAAATCGAGATGCCTATCGAGTGTTTCATTTTCGTATTTTCTCAGTTTCTCGATAATAGGTTGTATTCCGAGCATTAGTAGCTCATAACGTAGATGCAGCCTAAACTCCAGCGTAACTTGACCAGGCCCGTAGTTTAGCACGGCGTTGATAAATGACATAATCGCTGTTTTTAGGGATAGATTATCTTTATAGATGCCGAAATTTTTATCAAGATCATTAATTATGTACTGGAAGCGCGTCCTTTCCGAATGATATTGTTGGAAGTGCAACATAGCTTCTAAAACTTTTCGGTGACCGCCTGGTACTAAACAGACTGCACCGAGGATCTCTAGTACAGAGATTTTCGTTTTTATATTCTCAGATGCGAGCGACTGTGATATTGTGTTGATTGCCGTTGGATGTGCCAACACATGTGCTCTACCATTCTAGAACAAAAGATATATTAACTAAAATAATGAAGAAAAAATTGATATACGTGCAAGGTTTCCCTTAATGAAATATTAGGGATGCAAAATTGTTGAACAGTTGGATTAATACACTCTTAACCCTTATGAAAATATGGAAAAATTAGGCTGTAAGCTGCAGCTCATTTGTGATAAAATGTCGTTAATAATAGTAAATATTATTTAACATTTATTTACTATACACTTGATGAAACTTACCGAATTATTCATTAAAGCCTTTAAACATCCTATAACGCTGGTATGGAGATTACTATTAGCTGCTTCAGTATCCATAGTCCCTAATACTTGTAATAAAGCGTTTAAACCATCTAGTTCTATAAATCTGAGAACAAAGCTGTGCGGCTGCGTCCTCAGAGCAGTCTTTAAAGCTTCTGCTTGACGCATTTGATTCGATACTTCTTCATCTTCTTCCGGAAAAGGATTCTGTATAATATACATACGTTTAATATGCTCGTCACATATATATTTAAATATCGGAGATAAAATCGAAAATAATACGACAATATCTCGCTTTCAATCTTTATAAAATGTTCTTCCAGCAAAATTATTAACTCTCATATCAGTCATCATATCATTGTAAATCTATACTATATACAATGACACAAAATAAAAACATAAATTTAAAAAATTTTAACACAGTAGTAACTTGTAAATTAGCTATTTTACACCAGTTTTCAATTCTCTCTTATGAGAATCCTATTTGTTTAGCTTATAATTTTGGTATGTGCCTGCTCTTTCTTGCTTTACCTTTTCGATTTTAATAAGAAAATTTTCAAGACAAAATGATCACGATTATTAAAATAAATCTTGTTAATAACATTAATCTTGTTAATAACATTGTTTATAACATTTTTCTGTAATAACGTTTAATGCTAACGTCAAAATTGATTCTATTAAAAAAAAAAAAACAACGTGTATTCAGTATTATTTATTTCTCTATAAAAAATTATTTTCGTCGCTCGAATAAGTAATTGTTTAAAACTCATTTGTGGTATATATAAAACCTTGTTTAATCTGTTTAACACACGCACGCACAAAACAAAACAGATCTTTAACGACCAATAGTTTAATCTCATCATCATCATCATCATCATTAATAATCATAGATTTTATTAAACAATTTCATTCACTCACATTTGCTATCATCTTCAATCTATTGATATAGTCCTCGGGATCACCGCTAAGGTCAGTGGTGCGTAAGCCGCCGTTGTCCAAAGTGCCATTACCTTTTCTGGAGCAATATATCTGCCACTTTTTATTGGCTGGAAGTGCCAAAACTGCTTGTCGATTGGTTTGGGTTAGGTCCAGTTCGTCGACAAGTTCGAGAAACATTTTATTCAGCTCCTCCTCGGCTGGCATTGGTAAGGTTGGCGTCATTGCTTGTAGCGTGAGTGTACCCGTGTGCTCCACAACGCAATATGTGATTTCCGGTGGCTCGTCATCCTGCGAGGAGCAACTAGATTAGTTCAGTATCCTATCATATGTATTATAGATCATGCAAGTAATATTATATAAACAATAGATATAAAAAAAGCTATAAGATAATAGCGTTGTCGTGTTTCCTAATTTTACGCATTGAATTATTAGCATAAATCTTTTTGCTTTCTTTCCGCGTATACAGAACATGTACATTTATGAACTGTATTGCTTGTATATGCTGTAAATGCAATATCAAATTATAGAATAGGCCAAACTAACGAGCACTAATAAGATTAGAATAAATTTTATGTTTTATATTTAAGCATCACCTTATTAGTGTTCGTTAGTTTGGCCTATGCTATAATTTGATTGTTTCTACATTGACGAGCTTGCCTCACATTGTTAGTTCAACTTAAATATATGTATGTTGATGCGTTTTTTATTTATGATAGAAAAAATATTTAAAAATATATAAAAATTTAATATACTGCATATTGATATATAAAAGTACGCTTAATATATCCGCAATAATAAGTTAATTTTAACAAAAGGATAATATAAAATTATTGAAAATACATTCTTGCAAATTTGATTGTTAAATCAAAATGTATCTTATTGTTAATCGCGATCAATAATGCAATCGGCTCATTGCCACAAGGATTCGCTTTGCACTGGGATTTGCTTTCGATCAATGAAATTTTTCGGTGTTTTTTTTTGTTTACACGTTTTTCTATTGATATATTGAGTTGTACGTATACGATACTTTTCAGATTTTGATGCTAAAGTTGACCAATAACAATAAAATAATAATGATAATAGAATTGCAAAATTGACATAAAATATGTTAACCCGTATAGCATTGAAATTGTACCAGTTTCGATGTTCAATCTATTTTCACTATTGTGTGTGCTCATTCTCGCTTCTTCTTATTACTAGCTAGTCAAGAGCTAACAGCAGTAACGGCAACAAAGGTCAGGGGATCGGCTTAGGCATGGATTCCTGTACTTTCACACGTGACTAAGAAATTACCTATTCACGTGCTAGATGTCGATTATAATCTTAGCAAACATCATCTTTGCGCGATCATCGCGGTAAGAGGTCATGTACCAAAGAATGTTCGAACAAATTCCCCCTCCCTCCTCCCCCCAATGTTCTTATTCCAAAGATTTTTTTACACAGTTTTTTGTCCTCATCAGCGTTGTATGTAGGAATTTAAAAAAAGGTGTGCTTGCACGTGATAGTCACGAGTGTCACGACCGAGATCAAGCGCCATCAAACGTGACATGTGACTAGGACGTATATACATGAGTTTGCAGAAAAAAAATTAAATGTACAGCGCGAGACTATATATATATATATATATATATATATATATATGTAATATATATAAATATAGATTATTGCCAGGTGTTAACAATTACGTTACATTATTTGTGGAGAATTGTAGTTAATTATACTTGAGCACGCAATGAAATATGCCTTCTTTATATCTTTATATTGTACAAAAAAAAAGAAAGCAGTAATTTGAAAACTTGAAATAGATAGTGTGCGACTTTTACAAAGATTAATGATGTCAAGATACATAGCGTCAGGCATATGGAAAAGATTTCCTAGTGATGCATCTTGTTTTACACGGGTTTCAGATAAAGTAAAGATAATTAGAGAGAATAACGGAAAAATTTTCAAAATGGCAACAATGTCTAATGTTAGTCATGAAATATAATATTGCATTCATACGACATATGAACAATAATTTGAGACAATTTACACTTGGATTTTTTTTTACGGGACAATTAGATTTTTGCCAATTTTTGCATCGAGAATGTAAATGGAAATACAACTTTTAATAAAAAAATTTGCTTTCGTAAAACATAGACAGTAATATAGTTTCTTTTAAGAATTAACATTTAAACGAATATACATTGTAATAAATTAAAAAATATTTTTCTGGAATGCGATATGCAAATAAAATTGAAATTTATTGTTAAACGTAATGTAATGGTTTTCGATTTATTTTGGCTTGATAGCAATATTTTGATATTCTGGTGAAAAAGTTGAATGAGTGTATATCAATTTTCAAATAACAAAAATGCTGTTCGTCAAATGTTAATTTGAATTGTAATTTTAAAAATTTTTAATGGATTAGTAAAAATATTTATTTATACAGACTTTATTTATTCGATAAGTGTAAGTCGCGCTACACACACACACACACACACACACACACACACACACACACACGTACGATTAATGACTCAATCTACTTTCAGTTTCTACTTTCAGTTGACTTTCAAATTAACATGTGCATCTAGCTTGTCGAACGAAATTTATTTTGATTCACTTTTATATATTTGAGAGAATACAAAATTTGAAAAAATTATAAAGATTTAATTAATAATATTAATATATTTCATATCAAACATTTCTGTTACAATATCGAATCAAATAAATATTATAAATATATACAATAAACATAAAATTTTGATTTTATATATATGTATATATATATATATATATATATATATATATGTATATATATATATATACATATAATATTTTATGTTTCTAAATTAATACTTATCACTCAGATGTTTGAATAAATAGAAATGTATTATATTGTAATTATATTCGATTGTTATATGATAACAACATTATGTGTTAACAGCTATTATTGATAAAAGTTATTCTCACATCGTTCATATGAATGCATTCCAGGAAGCTATAAGTATTTTTTTTATTAAAAATATCGTTCGTATAAGTAATGAAGGCAAGAATGTTTGCTAATTATAAATAAATATTTTTTAGGATACTCATAATTTAACACAGATTGCAATACGAAATAACGCGGTCGATCCTATTAAACCGCCTTCTTGCTTCGGTTCGTTTCTTCTGGAAGTTACCTTCCATTTCATTTACACTTCTTTTCACAAGAGAGTTCATTTTACTTTGGTTTATATAAGAACTTCCTAGTAACAATTTGCCGTAACAGTTTACTCATAACATTCAATGAAGGTTATACCTCTGTATGTCGTGGAATTTTAAGAAAGAATGTAGAGATAAGTGTGCTAAAAATTGTTAAAGATTAACATTTGTGAAAACATAAAAAAATTAATGAAAAATATATTTTAATTAGTGCATTCTTGTTAATTACATTTTTATTTTGTATTTTTTGTGCATTTTATTCTTTACAAGGCATATACATATAAGTATGTATGTTTTTTACAAGCGTGTTAAAATGTATCTAAAAAAAAAAAAAGAAAATAGACATAATATTGCATTATATTAAATTAAATTTTGTAATTACTCTTTTTTCAGAATTTAAAAATGAAAAAATTAATTCCATTATATTATAAAAGAAACATGTTTATATTAATATACTATTGGAAAATGTTTTAATAATAATAATATTATTAACATTTTAATTATATTATTAATAATTTAAATTTATTGTATGTATATTATATGTATCTATTATTTATAAATAATAATTATTCGTAAATTGGTATCCGTCAAAACAGCATTGTTTACACAATCTAGCAAATAATGGTCTAGTAACTTTATCGATGGTTACATTTGTTATATAAATATTATATTTAAAATCTTACTTGTAAGCAGCCGCAAAACGATTTCTTCACTCGTGATGGCATAGTTTGGCAGCGACCAACAAATTCCTTTAGAGGCTGTGAACTTTTCACAGGACAGTTTGGAATCCTCTGCAAATCATGAAAAGTTTCATGTGTTATTTGTTATAATGCATGGTATTATCGATAATATTCTCTCTCTCTCTCTCTCTCTCTCTCTCTCTCTCTCTGTCTAATGTTTTATCTAAAACAATGTTAAAATCTAAAACATTATTAAAAATGTATTTAACCATCATGATGGAAGCAGTTAAAGGAGAGATAAAGTTAAAGTTGTATCGTGAAAATTTTGCGCTTAAAAAAAATCTTCATAATGTTACATATACCAATGTTATGTGCTATAATATTATAAATTAAAGCATCAAGAAACCGGAGTAAGCAGTTTTATGAGCATAGTAATAACGTCGCATTACATGTCAATTTCGTAATATTCATTAGTTTTATTTTTAATTATAAAGAAAATCAGTCATAACATAATTATAATATATGAATAAATCGAGTGTAATATTATTATATCAGGGTGATGCAACATTGTAGAATAATAACTTATTATATTCTAAGTCAATGTAGCGAAAGCTTCAACATTCTTTTGTGATTTGATCACTTACGTGAAAAAAACGCCACTTTTCAACCGTAGGCTCTGGGCAAGACACTGTATCCCGATCCTCATCATTGGAGGACATGTCAGTATTAATTGGATCACTTTTTTGTATGTTATATTTGAGTGGAAGAGGATTATTCTCGTCCCTCCCCTCTTCCCCTCCCCTCTCCCCCTCCCCCCTTCTTCAAAGTTTGATACGATTTTGATTCTAATCGTCCTTATGATTAATCGCAATTTTCACTTTTGCACACTTCGCAGATGAACTCGTTTTGTTCGCATGCAAGTAAATACTCGAGAATTCGAGCCGTCAACCAATTTCATAGGCAAGAAATTCTTATCTCGCACGTAGAAATTCTTATCGCGTCGGAAAAAACAGAACAACGTCAATTATCGTGCGCCAGTTATCGCACGACTATGCATATCATTGTGATGTCCTCAGTAGAACCAGCTGATCACTAGTCTTTTTTAGAGTAATAAAAACCTTTTCGAAAAAATGTAGTACTTCATATTGTCATTAATTTATTATATTATCGAGATATTATCGTTAATTAATTTCATTTCATTAATTTATTTCATTCTTATCAATCTATTTGTCATGTATTACAGTATTTGTATTTATTTAAAGAGACGATAAAAAATTAAAAGTTCTGTAAAAGAAAATAATATCCCAGAAAGTATAAAATAATGTCTTTAAATACAATGCATATTATTTTAAATAAGTATATATTCATATTTTAATCTTGAGATGCAATCAAAAAAGTTAGTATTTTTACAATACATTTTGTCGTGGGAAGCGATTCGCCGCGTCGGAAGCGATTACACTAGCTATAACAATTCACGGACTTGTAAACACACTTTCCAAAGTTTTACGGTTTAATCCATTTCTTGAAGTTATTTCCTTATTGTGAAAAAAAGATATGTAGACCCTTTACATACCATAGTATAATTTACTATTACCACAATTTACACGTGCCAGTAACATCACAAGTGTAAACATATAAGAATCGTAAAAATTGCATTTTGAAAGATATATCAGTTTCATCGTCAATTATTTAAACACTTATTATGTAATTAAATCACGAGGATAAGAAAGGCGTCAAAACTCCTTATCGATTAACTCGGTCAGAGTGACTTAAGCAAATAACAATAAGTAGCTTATTATTATGATCACATCTTTATAAAAAGCAGCAACAATATATCTTAATCTTTATCTGTTTAATTTTCCACACATGTAGTTTCTCATAAATAATTCAATATCAATTTATTATGTTTATTATTGAGTTGTTTATTATTGATTATAAAATATAGTTTATTTGTAACATCTACATTTAATATCTTTTTTCGGTCTGTAAATACAACTTAAAATACATATAATTAATCTTAAAAAATTGCTGGAAAAAAATTGTTGACTAAATTGAATTTTACGTTAAATATATCGCAGGTGCAATTAAAGAATACGCTAAAAAAATGTAATAAATTTAATTCTTAGTCACTGTCGTGTTATATATAGTTTCACACCATAATACGATTATTGTATTGTAATCCGCGCATGCGAATGATTTAATTTTATAGATTCCAATGACGTGTAGATAATTTAAATTGATTATGAATAACAATGAATTACATGCGTCAGTTTATTTATACGTATATGCAATTTATTTATTTTATGGCGTGCCAATAAGATTTGAAATCTGACAATGAAAAATAGTTGAATTACTTTACATCTTCTGCATTGTTCTTGCATATCGCTTCTCGCGCTTTATCTTTTCTCTTGTCTGATTTTGATCTCTTACGTTTTCCTCTCTCTTCTTTTTCGAGTACTCTCACCAGAGATATTCGAGTGAAATTTTGGTGTGCCCTTTTCTTAACATGACATCTGCAGCTAGATCATTGATCATTATATCGACTGTCATTTAGGATTCAACTTTCCATTTCAAACGAGAATAATTTTCTTATTAACCGCTGTCGTTCTACTTATTTTCTATTTTTATAATTGCATACAGGTAATGATCGGGATTCATAACATTAAAACAAAAATTATAGACACTAGAAAAATAATGTAATTGTGTTGTCCGCGCGTGTGTGAAAATGAAAGTTGTAAGCAATATTAATTAAGTCAGTAATTGTATTATTCAATCATGGAAGAAAAGAAAATCGTAATCGATGGAATATGATTGATAATCGTTAGCGCGATTACGTTCTATTTATGTGCTGCAGATATCGTACTTTCGAAAATGTTTAAAACAGCCTGAATTGTTCGATGTACTGTCCGTGAAATGAGTAGGTAACAGGCTCAGAAAGCGTGCAAATTTTTCAATCATAATTATGACATCGACATTGCTGCTGAATTCAGCGACATAGTTTAATCGATATTGATATGCGATATTCGTGATAATTGTGTGTTCACGTAAATTTAGTGACGCGAACAGCTGTCTGACAGATTGCTGACATGGAACACAAATGCATGTATATGCATTAAAACTGCTATAAAACAGGTAGACTCTCACATTTATTTCTTAGACTTCAATCGTTTCTTCGCCGAATAATGGCTGATATAATATACGTGGCCAATGAGATATATAATGTATAAATTTAATGGACCAGGCGAATGGACCAGGCAAATCAATCCATTACGAGAGACCGTCATGCATCGTCACATTGCATTCAAACAAAAGTTGAATGTAAGAAGCTGTAAGCTTCAGCAAAAAGTTGTAAGAAGCAGATAGCTTTTGACAGATTTATAAATAAATAATTCATTAAGGACTTACTAACAATTATGGTATGTAACCCTTCTACTTCTACGTATAATAATTTACTGATTTACAATTACGAATACTTACTAACATAGTGTATATATTTTGTATTTATTATGTCACGCGACATTATAATTAATGTTTATGCTCATCAAGCTTGAATAATAAAAATTATAATAATAATCAATTAAGACAGTTCAAATATTTGAGAAAGCAAAAAAAAATTTAATTAAGAAAAAACAATGATGAAATACTTCCTTAAAGGCAGTACACCATACGTACGCACATTTATAATAAAAATTTTCACTCGCTTATTGATTGTGACTCATGATGTACTTTCCTTGGAATTGCTACCAAAAAAGCGTTACGGACATTTCGTCACATGCTCATCATGTATGAACAGTCACGTATTAGAAAGTTAATAAGATTTTAATGTAGCAGTCGAATATGTATAATGTGCTTCCGGTCACATATCATTTACGCATTATGTAACAATTAATTAATTAAAAAATATAACTATGACATTTTAATTCGAAAAGATTAATTTAATTACACATTTAAACATTTACATTTATCAACTATTATTTAATTTTTCTATTCTCTTTACTTATTATACAGAGTAATTTAAAAGAAAAAAAATTATTAAAAAAAAATTAAGGAAGACTGAATATGTTTATTGCACTTCTCCAAATTTTCTCGAAATTGGTTATATCGACAGCCCAAATACTTTGCCTATCCTTCCAAATGCACAATTGTTTTTGGCGCGAATGCAAAATTAGGCAATAATTGCAATTGCAACATCGGATTTAGCAGTTTTTACGATTTAAAGTGTACAAGGCATTTATTATTCAGGCCGCTAATATGTCACAACAGCATGTTATAATACAGCGTTTATTATTTAAACTATATATTAAATTATTATTGTACACATTCAGTCATACCAGATTCAGTTTTTCCATTTTTTCCAACATGATGTCCATTTTGAGTTTTGTCAATATCTTCAAGATAAATGTTGTATTCTTCTGAACTGAGAATCAATACGTCTCGTCCCGTTCGAAAGTTGCTTGTTTCGCACGTGTAAATTACCAATATTTGCTGACAATCACACTGTCAAATTATATTGCGTCCACAGAATTTAAGTTCAATATTTAAAATTAATTTTTCTCTATAATTTAGACTTTATATAGCTAAAATATCAAAGATGAAATTCGATTGTTTTGCAAGCCACGCTTGCAGATCGCGGAAATTATACGTGGCATTGAAATTTTCTTCCTTTTGGAATAGTCCTTATGCGATCAGACGGGATATTTATAATTCTTCTTTAACACTCATTTATGGTCAATGTGTTGTGCACAAGTTGAATTTTGTTTTAAAAAGTAACTAGTACTAGATTATTGAATCAAGTTCTTTAATTGCAATTTGGTGTTTGTATATTTATAAAAAATTTGATATATTTAAAATATTTAATTAATCATTTAGTTATATAATTTTTGTGTGCTGCAAAAATCTTTGTTAAATTTTGTAATGAAGTTAATTTTCTTATTACTTTCAGCAATATTTAACACATTGTTTAATAACATTTAAAAACACTTCTATGGTGACAATTAAAAAAAAAATTACTTTTTAATTAAGATTAAATTTTATAACTATAAAATTAATTATTTTTATTATAATTTTTGTCTTGAATTTTTTAGACTTAATTTTTACCACAGTCACTTTTCACATTATATATTTGCTTAAACGTATTCCTTAGTTTTCATTACTAGAGTATTTCATTTTATAAGAGAATATGTATATCTCAAGGAGTCTTTCATTATAGAAAAAGATTCCAACAAATTGTTTTTCATTTCTTTGATTAGTTTTCTTCTTCATGTCCAATTACAATTTTTGAGATCTATCTTCAAGTTGTAACAAAAACATTTTCTGTAATTTAAATTATGTTATTAAAAATTTAGTATTCTTCACAAAAGACTCTCCTTTTTTTTAAATTCACTGTTTTCGTTTTGTGCTCTTTGGAAAAAAGTATCTTTTGAAGTTTCATGTTGAATCTCTCTTTATTCATCTCTTTATTTAATTCAATTTGATTCTCGTTGAAAAAAAATCATGTTTAACAGCACAACACAACAGTTGTCAATAAAAAAATCTTCCAAGTGTCAAAGTATTTTACGCCTGTATTATTGAAAACTTCGACAATCTAAAAGAAGAATATAGTAATCGAAAATTCGATTATGAATATTGTGATCTGACTTTTCTGTTCGTTTCGATCGACACAGCGGATGATCTCGTTCGCGGAACGTTCTTGCTCGCGATTGTAGGTTGAACTGCCTGTGCAGGTGAAAACACAACATCTCTCAACCTGCACAGGTGCAGTACATAGGGGTCCCCCAATCGGGTCCTGGAAAGAAGGGGGGCCTACTTGCGCGCTAGGATCTCTTTGCCACGAATACTTCGATCAGCACGGGCCTGTACGGGATGTAAAACCCGGGAATATTATTTGTCATTCACATCGCGCAAAAATCGAATTTGCGTTCAGAATAAATATGAATTGTTAACTGTGATGAGTGAGTACGAAAGAAAGCTGAACCAAAAGTCACAAAAAAAATTTGTTCTTGTAAGAAAAAAAATCTTGTTTAAATATTTTTACAAAATTTGTAATATTTAATATTTTAGCGGTAAATATATATTTTTATCCTAAAAAACAAAAACGCGTTAATTTTTTTCTTACTTTTGATTACTTTTTATTGCGTTTTCTACATTTCACTTTTTACTATAGTTTTATTCATATTATCACTATATCTTATGAAAATGTTTTTTTTAATTAAAAAATTTGCATTAAAAAATAGAATAACTATTAAATAAAATTAATGTAATCTGTAAAACAAATTTTATCATATACAATTTTAGTATTTAAGATAGCATTTTTAAATATATAAAGAAATGTTTGCATGTGAGTTTAATAATCAAGTAATAATCAAGTAATTATCAAAATATCCAGGGGAGTCGATTAATGTGCTTAAACTGCACACAGGTGTTAAACAAACAAAGAGATAAAAACATTGTAGTGTTGCAATCTACTGGTTTGCAGCACCGTATGTGCACGCAAAACGAACTCGAGAGAATCTCTTAGATTGTCGGACTGCAAAGCGTGTTTCTTGTTTTTTTTTCATCCCATGTAATTCGTAGTGTCGTCATTGATCTGGCTCACGATAGAAAACATTCATTCTTGCTTCCTCTGCGGTGGCAGCCTTGTCGACCGGAATGCACTCTGTCTCTTCGCCGATACGACGACTGGTTTTTCAGGAGGAAAAATAAAACACACCATCAGAATATTTTTTCCTCCGTTCTTATACATGCACTTTTATACTTTTCTCCTGCATAGCTGAGAGAGGAAGATCTTATTGCTATTCCTTTTACCAGACTACTTTGAGAATAATCCTCAGTGTAAGAATCGCACCTTTAAGATTTATGTTAACAATCGTCACTCTATCTGATTGGATTAAATCGAATCAATTGAGAATGTAAGTTATTATACAATTGGGCTAATAACAAGTAGACTTATAAACAACGAATCGAATTTCTTATGAAAAATTCAATTTTTGAAGGAGTATGAAATGATTGAGAATGTTATTTAATTATATATACATATATATATATA